CACAACCTGTAGAATCTGTCCTTATCAAGCTTTTCCACCTCACCAGCAGAATTAAGGGAAAAAACACCTGGGCCCCCCATACCTTTGACTTTTGCCTCTAGAGTCACTCTTGATATGGTCCAGGTCTGTCTGGCAGTATCCTTGCTGCCCACATAGGAGAGCAGCAACGGTAACAGTATAAGGGCTAGACAAGCCTCTGCAGTCCCTGACCCACCCCCCCAGCAAGCAGCAAACCTCCCTGCCTAGCAGACCTCCCTAGGTCAGCAGACAAGGTACCTCCACCTCCTGCAAGAGAAAGTCTCCAGCTACTATCCCTCACCTTACCCTCCTGGTGCCCTGGGGTGATCCAGACTGAGCCAGCTCAGATTCTTTATTGCTATCAGCCTCTCATCTGCCACCAAGACAATAACCCTGTTCTGCAGCTGCAGATCATTTGAGCCGGAACATGCCTACTCTTGCCAGAAGTCACAAGCTGCCAGTAATCTTTTCCCAACCCAAGAAGCACAGATTCTGCCTGCCCCTCTCTCAGCATAGCTGTGTGCTCAGGTTCTGGTATCTGTAGTGTCTCACAAGAAGATCCAGTCAATATCCTTTTCATCATCTGATGCTGACCTCTACTGACCTCCTTCTGTAGCAGCTTGACTTTGTGACACATATCCTCTGCGAGCACACACCTCTGAAGAAAAAGCTGCCACCACACCCTGCCCAAAGCTTGGTAAAGACTCTGGGCATTTCCTACAGCCTGAAACATAGAGAAATGCCTCCTTTGTCTGGACAGCAATCTGAGTTGAGGCCTCTGACATTCTCAGCATTTGCTCCAGTTGGTACTGGGAATCATGTCCCATCGTACATCATCACCTTTATTGAGCATGCATACACTGTCTCAGCCTCACAGCACGTCTCCACCAATATCATTTTAGTGAAGATGTAACCGTCACCACTACACCGTACCTCTGGACTCCTAGCTCTACACAGCTCCTGAGGACAGTGTTACTATCTCCAGTCATAGAGACGTCCTTGATTCATAGCACCATAGAATGGTTAGGATTAAGATCATCTACTTCCAGCTCCCCTGCCACGGGCAGAGACACCTCACACTTGACCATGTCACCCAAGGCTCTATCCAGCCTGGCCTTGAACATCGCCAGGCATGAAGCATTCACAATCTCCTTGGGCAACCCATTCCAGTGCCTCACCACCCTAACAGGAAAGAATTTCTTCCTTATATCTAACCTGAACTTCTCATGTTTCAGTTGAAATCCATTACCCCTTGTCCTATCACTACAGTTCCTAGTGAAGAGTCCGTCCTCAGCACCCTTGTAGGCCCCCTTCAGATACTGGAAGGCTGCTATGAGGTCTCCACGCAGCCTTCTCTTCTCCAGGCTGAACAGCCCCAACTTTCTCAGCTTATCTTCATACAGGAGGTGCTCCAGTCCCTGATCATCCTCATGGCCCTCCTCTGGACTTGTTCCAACAGTTCCATGTCCTTTTTTATGTTAAGGACACCAGAACTGCACACAGTGCTCCAAGTGGGGTCTCGGAAGAGCAGAGTAGAGGGGCAGGATCACCTCCTTCGACCTGCTGGTCACGCTCCTTTTGATGCGGCCCAGGATACGGTTGGCTTTCTGGGCTGCAAGCGGACACTGCCGGCTCATGTTCATTTTCTCATCAACCAACACCCCCAAGTCCTTCTCTGCAGGGCTGCTCTAAATCAGTTCTCTGCACAACCTGTAGTTGTGAGGGCCTGTAGAACTTTTTGGTCCAACCTGCTATTATCACAGTTTCAATCAAAATGCATAATTTTCTTGAAGAATTACCAGTCTCTCTGGAAATACGAAGCTAATCCATATGTCAAATACAAGTAGCTTTTCACTTACTCATAAATGTATCAAATCTTGGTAAATTCTAGATGTATTTCCCACTGTGCATTAGCCAATCCTACCTGAAAACTAAATATTTGGCCTAATTTCTGTACAGACATGTTATCCATATGTACTAACCTGCTCTGTGAAAATTGATCAAAGTCATCCTGAAGATCATATTTATGTAGAAGTTCTCCTAGGAGGTAGCCATTAGAAAACTCTTCCGATATTGATCCTGGAACTAAGTTTGGGGGTTTTGTTGTTAGTAAAAAGAAACAAAATTTTTCATACAATGATTATAACACAATAGATTATTATTTTCATACAAAAGTTGTCCAAACTTTATTAAATAATTCAGAGGAATTTTAGGAAGTTGATCTAGCAGTAACTAGTTTTCAAGCCACCAATAAATCTGCTTTCAGTGTAGTTATTTTGCAACATAAGCTTTACACAATCAAAAATAAAAATGCAAATGAAAACAAAAGCGCTTCTCTTCCATGGAAAGTTGCTCCCTCCTTGCAGGAAATGCTTCTTCAAAGCCAGCACAACACCTGCCATGTAAAGCAAGGCTCTGCAAACTGCTTTGCAAACATATTAAAATACTCTTATCCTCTGGAGTCCTTATTAGCAGATGAAGCATGAGCTCCTCATACTCCCTGGGAGCATTCGCGGCTTAAGGAAACTTACCTTCATCTCGAAAGTCACCGTCTTACGCATGAAGGTTAAAAATGTACCTGAGGGGGTATCTAGACGCGGGGAACCGGGAGGGCTCGGGGAGTTGGGCCGCGGGACCCCCTCGACCCTGACCCTGCGGCAAGCAGCCCCCCGCGCTGACGGGCAAGCCTGCTATACCCCCGAGCCCCTGCGCGCTCCCACCGCAGCGGGGCCCGCACTCACCCAGGCTGCGGGAGAGCTGCACCTCTTCGTTCAGCCACTCGCACAAGATCTCAGACATGTCCCGCGCCGGCGGCGGCCTCACAGACAACCGGCACCGCGTCCCGTTGCCACGACGACCGGACGCTTCGCGTGCGCGGTGGCGGGGTGGAGTGGGGGGGGCGGGCAACGGTACCCGCCCGCTGGCGCCGCTCGCCCGCAGGAGGAGCGCGCTGCGCTCTGCGCATGCGCTGCAGGTGGGGCGGGGCGGGGCGACGGGTGTGCATTGGGCGGGCAGACGACGACGACGAGGGGGAGGGTGGGCTCGGTGTGAGCGGCGGGGAGTGCATGCTGCCGGCGCGGCAGCCGGCGGGCAGACAGAAGAGGGTAGAGCAGGGCAGAAGCAGCAGCCGAGCCGTACCTGAGGAGGGTCTGCCTGGAGCCGAGCGGGCGAGCGCGGGGCTGCCCTTAGGCTGCCCCTGACCTGGGGAGGACGCTGGTGGCAGCGTCCCGCTGGACACAGCCGGTCGGCGGCCCTTGCCCCTCGGCGCTCTCTTCGCTGTCCCGCGCCGCTTGCTGTGAGGTCTGTCAGCGCGGCGCGGAGTCCGCCTCAGCCGCCCTTCCCGCCTGCCCCAGCGCCTTCTCCTGGTTGCGGTTCGCTGCTTGTTTAATGTGTCTAAAACTTCCCCATTCCACCCCGACCTTGCGCTGCTCCCCGCTGAAACCGCTCTGGTGCTAGCGCAGATGGTGTTCAGCGGAGGAGTCCCGGGCTGAAAGCCTGGCAAGGAGGGAAACGAGAGAAAAACTAATTCAGGGTAATTTTCTTCAAATCGATTCAGATAATGGCACAAATTACTCTGTTGGCACCGTATGAAAGGGGGAGGGAGAGCAAGAACTGCTGAAGAAAGCTGTGCCAGTTTGAATGCGTGCTACACGCTTACGAGGGTGTTTTTCAACAGCAGTGTTTGTGTAAGAAGTCTGAAGCGTCTGTGCGCCAATACAGCTGCTCCTGTGGCTCTACGGTAAGACAGTTTGTGGGGTCTGAGCTTGGTTTGAAATGAGCCTCGCTGGCCCTGTGCTTTGCTTTTTGTCTGCGCTGTTATCTTTGCTTTAGAATCGTGCTGAAGTAATTGGGTATAGTTTGGGTGCGTCCGGTTTGAGGAGCGTGTTAGAAAAATGTAGACTGTAGGGAAGAGGAGTACATCTGAAAAATGCAAAGCATACCATGGGAATCTAAATTCCAGTTTCTGTCTCTGGAGGCAGATCTGCAGTTGATGGAGTTAAGTTTTCAAGTGCCTTTCAGTGCAACAAAATCCTAAAGGATTATTTAATCTAGAAAAGATGGGAGCATGAGCATCTAGTGGTTAATGACAGGCAGAAAGCAAGCTAATAGTAATTTCCAAAAGTGACAGTGATTAACAGTTGGCATAACAACTTGGAATATCACAGATTCTGTTGCTTTAGAAGTCTTCAGATTAAATCTCTGTGCTTTTACAGAGTGTGTGCTTCACATGCAGATAAGTTACTGGGTTTTGCAAGAGTTAATGTATAACTGGCAAGTCATTTATATCTTGAGAGGTCATTGTAGAATTAGTAGCATATGAATAAATCGAGTAACAGGAAACTTAAAGAGGGTGAAAGTACTTTCAGGGCAGATGTTCAAAAATCCTTTTAAATATTTAAAATTTTATGTTAAGTTATAAAAATACGCACACTTTAGGGGAAGAAAACACCCCTTGGTTTTGTTTTGTTTTTTCAATATAATATTTGTAGTGGGAGTATATATCATCAGAGTATGTTTCTGGTATGTCGTAGGGCAAAGAACAAATCTGTTGTACCTTCATCATGAAATTCTTTCCTCAGCTCCAGAAATCAATATATATATGTATACACATATATACATGTTGGTGTAAGTAGTCATTAACATGAATGTATGTTGATTTAAAAAATGCAAACAAGAACTGGTTTATATTGAGTTTAGAACTTCTTACCATATCACTTCTGACTTTGAAAACCTGGTACTTCCTGTATCTTTAGATTTTTTTATGGAATGTCTTCCTTCAAGTTCATTGTCATATTCAGTGGAATTCTAAATAGGTGATTTTGTTTATAAATAACATTGGTTCTTCCATCTTCTAAGATGGAATAAAATCTTGTTGAAGCTACAATTGTGAGAAAGATGTGGAATTCCTCTCAAATTCAGTAGTGATCTGCTATTCCAACTAGGTCTCACTTAGCTCTTTACAAATTAATGTAGCTTTCTTAACAGAATTCTGAGTAGTGGTGGGATAATGTAGTAATCAGTTTTTAACTCATTCTTTCCCTGAGTTTAAGAACTTGGAAGGACATCTGTGTTCTGCACTGTGAAAGCTGAGTTCAGAGATTGCTTAAAGGAAAATACTTGCAGACAACTAGTGAGGTAACTGTTTCACTAGTTCAGCCCTTGCTGAAAACACTGATATTTTTAAATAATAAGGTTATTTATTCTGTGCTCTGTTAATTTGTTATTTTTCTGCTAGGACTGCCATTGGGAATGTTCTGGAAATTCCAGACTGATTTTCCAGAGGACACTGTGCTTCTGATCACGTAGCTTTTAGACTCCAATAGTGGCCTGTGGAATGCATCTGAATTTTTCACCTAAAACTCTGTGTTTATTTCAAACTTTATGTATGCTCCTGTGGACTTGCTTTGGAAGGAAATAGAATTTATAGGTTGTATTTATAATGGTCAAATAAAAGACATCAAACAGCAATCTGTTGAGCACAGAAGTACCAAGGGATTATCTGTTACATTTCATTCTTTTTGCCCTCTTGAAAGAAACTGCATATATAAGAACAAAAAAAAAAGAGCTTGTCGTATAATCAAGCCTACAGCTTTTGTGGATATTAGTTTTGAATAATGTGGACATGATATTGGTATGCATAAAAAAACTAGAAAGGAATTCGAGGTTTTATTACAAAAGGACAATCAAAGTACTTCTGTATGTTTAAGATACTAAACCGAGGAATTATTTCATCTTAATACAACCAAGATTAAGAAAAGTCAGATGAATTTGAATGAATTCTTAAATGGCCCTTAGATAGAAGCTGTACAGACAGTAGTATCACTAAACTGATACAGAGTAATGAAAGAATGTGTGGGTTCAGGAGTTTCCTTTTTGTACCAGAATTTGTTACTGCATGACTAAGATCACTTACAAACATGCTTAAGTATCATTTTTGGGTAATGTTACGTTCTTTGTTCTTTGCTTGGCTTGTCTTTTTCCTAGGGAGATACAAAGGCAGTAAATAGCTTCCGCTTCTTACAGGGCTTCTTTTCCACCTTTCCCTCTGTATTTTAATTATTCCTTTTACTTAATGTTGTTTATTCCCTCTGACATGATCAACAGATCACATCTTCTTTGAAATTTAATTTCAACGGTATTCATCCTGCACAGGTACTCTCCTCCCATCACCTCTGGATCATCATGTCTCTATTGAGGACAGAAGAGGATCAAGCCCTAAACAGAAAACCATGATCTTGAGGTTTGTGCTCACCACTCGTTTTCACAGCTCTTTGTTAGCTACATCTCTCAGTTCCATTCCCCATACTGACATTTAGAACACCATGATTCTGGAACCCTGCCCTGACTCCTGCTTGGTTTTGTGTGTTGCCACAAGACAAGGGCTGTATTATAGAATTATAAAATCAACTAGGTTGGAGAAGACCTTCAAGATCATCAGCTCCAACCTCTACCCAGGACTGTCAAGTCCACCACTAATCCATGTCACTGAGAGCCTCATCTACACAGGTTTTGAACACTTCCAGAGCTGGTGATTCCACCACTTCCATGGGAAGCCTGTTCCAATACCTGATCACCCCTTAGATTGATTCAGAGCATGTGTTTGTCCAGCCTAGTCTCCTGTCTCTGACAATGATCAATAACAAATTCTGGGGAAGCATATATTAAGATCTGTTAACGTACCATCACGATTTTGTGATACTGAGACACCCTGCAGAACATTCTCCCAGCCACCACTGATTGTGCTGAAGGACTTCCTGCATCCACATGATCTAGAGCACTTAATGTTTTACTCCATGAACATGTGCATACGCTTTTGAATTTGTGTAAATGTTTTAATATAGACAGTGGTCTGTGGTAAGGAGTTCCTTATCTTAACCTGCCATTGTATGAATAAACTACATTACCCTTCATTACATGAAGAATTCCATTGTTTTGTGTATTTTGAAGCTGTATTTTCTGCTCACTGCTTTCAGCACTCCAGTAGTTCTGATGCTTCATCCCTGGCAGTGTTCAAGGCCAGGTTGGACAGAGCCTTGGGTGACATGGTCTAGTGTGAGGCTTCTCTGCCCATGGCAGAGGGGTTGGAACTTGATGACCTTAAGGTCCTTCCAAACCCTAACCATTCTATGATTCATTTTTAAGCGAGAACATTAGGCAACAGACTTGCAGATTGAGCTGATGTTTTAAGTGATATCTTGCTTCCAATAAGTGTATAATAGATGTATTTTATATGTACATTTACTGCTCATCTTAATATTCTCTCCCCTTCCCTGTTTTGGGGCTAGGGGTTTGTGTCTCTGGAGGGAAACTGTAGTTCCTATTGCATATTCTGCTCTTTTTATTGTCTACATGAAGAATGCCAAGATGTGAATGTGCTGTAAAAAAAAATTCCTACACTTTAAGTAGTTGTAGTACTAACAATGGCAATGCTAATGTGGGTACATACAATATATATACAAGAACGGCAATTACTGCTTAAGTAGCCCATTTGTATTTTAAACAAGTATCTCTTATGTTAAAACACTGATGAGAATGTGTGATGCAGTCTGGAAAACTACAGGTATGCTGTGCGCAGGAAAATACTCTTAAGTGGGTGTGCTGTTTGCTGAGTGGATTATTAGTAGGTAGGTTTAACTTGAATAAACCTCACTAAATTACTGGATAAGATTAAGGCAAGAGAACTGCGAAGAAGTTCTGATGCTGTGAAGAAGAAACAGCAAAATGCTTCCAGTATGAGGAACAAGCATAGTGTTACAGCTGATGTTTGGATTATTTTCCATGCTGGCAATTTAGTAAGGAAGAGCATAATTTAACCTATTGCACAGAACCGTAACTCGCTTGCTGTATCTAAGACAATATGGTTCCATTTAGTTTAGTTATAGCAATTCCACATTTAAGCCAAGTTCTGAAGAATTTTTCAGCTTCAAATAAGAGTTCAGTGTCTCCAGTATAATTTGTCAGGAATCGCTATCTGCCATAGTGAGTAGTGGCATATAATACTGAATAATGTCTGAAATATTGATGCTGTTTGATTACATTTGTAAGAATTTTAAAGACTTACTAAAGCAGCCCTCCCCTGCCTTTTTTTTTTTTTTTCAAGTGTATATAATTACTGTCTTTCATTGAAAGTTCTGGAAGAGATTCTATGCCTTTAAGGTTATCCATTTCCAGAGCAAAGGAATGTTTTATCCAGAAAGCTTCAAAACAGTAAAAGCTGAGTGCAAGTGATGGAAATAAAACACCAAACTGCCTGACAGAATGAAAATTCACATACGCTAAATAAAGGAAGTAGAAAGTTTACTAGAACTTCTCTGAATACTGAGTACATACATGTCTTAAGGACACGGTAAATTACAGGGAGGTAGATACAGCTTTAAGCAAGTTTGCAAATCAAAGGAATAGAAAATTAAGGGCATTTTTATTTTGAAGAGTCGCTGTGATGCTACTGAATTGATTACCCATTTTTTGAGCGACTTATTTTTCTTAATAATTTTTGTTTGGTTTTATTATCAATCTGTCTTTAATACCTGTGTGGTATGTTTTCTTCCATCAGAAAAGTGAGTATTCTGGCATACAGACTGATCCTGTAGTGATCAGTCTGTAGTAGTTAGAAGTAGCTGGGAAAGAGTGTAGGCAAGGGGTAAAAAAACATTGAAGATTATAGAGAGTGGAATTGAGACAAGAAATGTGACTGATACAGATATCTAGCTAACCCCTTTAAGAGGGTTCCATTAGGGATGGAGCAAAGGGGATCAAGGCAACACAAATTGCCTTAGTTCAATTGCTTGAACAGTGCCTTGAAATTTTGATTCGCTATTTCTTTGCCTTAGGAAATTGTATGGAAAACATACTGGCAAAGGATGTTTCCAGTCAATCACAATAATCGCCCACATCCACACACATATGTGTCATAATATAGTTAGAATTTAAATTATGTTAACGTTTTTCTTGTAGTCATCCTTTTCTGCACAGAATGGTCATGTGCTTGGTATGGATTTATGAAAGCTTTCTCCACTTTTATTCTTTTACTCTTCTTTTAAAGGGCAGCTAAGTAGTAAGTAAAATTCAGATGATTCATTTTTGTCATGCATAGTTGAATTCAGTCTCTGGCATAGTGTTTCTGTGAGATACAAACCAAGACCAGAGTTTTCCAGACAGTTACAAAACGTGAGTTTATCATTTTATGAATGCATTACTTTATATACAATGGCCTGATACATTTTGAGTAGTATTTGAAATACTCACAAGACCTCATCCGTTAGTATTATGTCTTTATTGTTCAATAAACGTTCATTAGTTGTGCACCATTTGTCTTATGTTCTTTCACTGTAGCTTTTGTCTAGCATTTGTAAGGAACGTATGTAATGTAATTAGAATCCTTTTGGTTTTTGGCTGCTACTGAGATGCAGCTGCCTTTGTTTTTTTTTCTTATTTGAGAACTAGAACAGCTATTGTGCACTAACAGTTTTGTTCAGTTACGTTTTTAAGATATAAAATGAAGACTAGTGTAGAGAGGGGGTGCAAGTAAGCATAATGTAACTAGGTGATCTGGAATTTGGCTAGCATCCTTGCAATTAATGCCAGCACTTAAAAGCTTCGGATACTTGTTCTTTCTCATTATGTTGAAAGAGAACATTGGTCAAGTATATTGTATGTTGGAAATGTTCTTGGTAGAATACCAGGCTTTCACAGTTCTTCTTTAATTGACAGTTGTTAACTAATTAGGGTAAAACTGATGCTGTAATTAGTTGGGGAAAAAAGAAAAGGATGTTGATATAGTTAAAGGAGAGACCATGGGCTAACATGCCCAATTGCTACTTTTAATAATAAATTAATAATAAATCATGGCACGATAATGCTTGTATATATAATTTAATTTTATGAGGAGAAGATATGTGTAGACTTTCTTTTTTATAACAGTGATTTAGCTTTCAAGTTGCACATTTCTCTCATCTTATGCCAGTATGAATTTGTTCTCAGGCTGATTCAATAGATGTTTTTTTAATTGGGTGTAAGAGTTGATGATGATGATAGGGATAGTGTTGTGTTTGTGTTTAATGGCTACTGAAATACAATTTTGTTTAACAATATCTTTGTCTTATTCAGAAACTTCCTCCTTTTTTACTACATCCAATCTGACTAGAATATTGAAATGATGGAATAAAGGGTTGGCCTTAAAATTAATGAAATTCTGTGAAAATGTTTAATATAGAATGACTGAATACAGGCACTAATGAAAGATGCAAAGCAGCCATTCAGCTGTTCATGCTGTAAGTTGTGGCACAAATAAACATTTTTAAAGAACTGACAGAAATAATAACTGTTATGAACTTGTGTTGTAGAGCAATGACTGCCTTACTGTTACTGTTGAATCACTTCAAGTCATTCAATAACATAGACCACTCTGTGGTCAAGCCAGTAGTAAGACTAAATTAGTTTGGTTCTCTGCTTCTGATTTTCTCCAGCTATCCTACCACTTATTCCCATTTCAGACTCTTTTCTTGCCATGGATTCTTAGTCTGTCCTGCAATCAGAATTAATTCTTACTCATATATGTCCATTTATTTCCCCCTTCCTATTCCTCAGGTGTTTACATTTGATGATGTGCCTGTCTTCTGATTTTCATCTGCTGCCCTAATCCTTCTTTCCTACTGAGTTTCCTATGCACATTCTGTTTCTTGGGAAACCACTGATCATGTATCCTCAAATTTGCATAATTATGGCTGTGTTCCTATGTATATTGTCGCTTACTCTGAACCTCTAAGTTCTAATTTATCTTACACAATTTACATTTGAAGTCTGGAACATCTTTTTCTGTGCTTGGGTTTCAAAAGCTGCTTGCTCCCCTGAGGATTTGCTGTCAGTATGCTTAGCTTTTTATGCAGAATGAATGCTTCCAAAGAAATGGTACCAATGACAAGTTTCTTTTCAGCAGCGCAGTAGCGGCATTTGTCAGACTGAATCATTAACAATGTCAAGAATGCACCTATTTCTTCCTGTCTCTTCTGAAAACCTCACTGAGTTTCAGGTAACATTAGTCAAGATATATACTCAGGTAGAGTATCTTCAAGTGTCAGTATAGAGGTGATCTGGCACATTATTGCTTCTCTTTTTTTTTTTCTTCTCACTGACGATCTGACAGTAAAGCTCATTCTGCCCTTTCTCTTGTTTTACCTCTCACCATACTGTTACTTAGCTTGCAATACCAAACACAGCTCAATAATAATAGAATGTAATAATACAATATAGAATAATATTTCTCTTCCTTCATGACATACTTTTCAAATTT